AGAGAGAGAGAGAGAGAGAGAGAGAGAGAGAGAGAGAGAGAGAGAGAGAGAGAGAGAGAGAGAGTTTTCCAGCCACGGACGCAGTGAGAGAGAGAGTCTACTTCCATCGATAGGAGGAAAACCGGAATGAATCTTCCGCTAGAATATGGAACTATACACTGCTGTCCAGCCATGCGCGCAGAGAGATAGAAAGAGGCTACTTCCATCGATAGGATGAGCAAAATCGGAATGAATCTTCCGCTAGAACATGGAAATATACACTGCCGCTTTTTTTCTTTTATTTTGTGTGTGTGCATGTGTCAGAGAGAGAGAGAGAGAGAGACAGAGAGAGGAAGAGAGAGCAGGTAAGTCTCCATATCTTTTTGGTGTTGTCCGCATTGAATCCGAACACGCTAAAACATTCAGCTATGAACTTGTATTCGAACATGAGTGGCATGCCGGCCTCAAACATGCTGAAAAGGGCTGCTCTGAACAACGCGAATGGGAACAAAGCGCCGGCTGCTATGAGCAGTGTGAATGGAAACCAAGTGCCAGCTGCTATGATCATCGCGAATGGAAACAAAGCGCTGGCTGCTATGAACAGCACAAATGGAAACAAAGTGCCGGCTGCTGTGAACAGCACGGATGGAAACAAGACGCCGGCTGCTATGAACAGCGTGAATGGAAACAAAGCGCCAGCTGCTATGAACAGCGCGGATGGAAACAAAGCGCATCGGCTGCTATGAACAGCGCGAATGGAAACAAAACGCCGGCTGGTATGAAGAGTGCGCATGGAAACAAAACGCTGGCTGCTATGAACGGCACGAATGGAAACACAAAACAAAACAACCCACCAACCAACTGCATGTGGGGCCAGAAGTCGGGGAAGACATTTCATTTTCCGCCCCATCCGGACGGTGGCCAAAGACCGAAAAAAATATGGGCCTATTTTTTTTGGGCGGCCCAGGGCGTGAAAAAACGCCCTGGGCCTCCCAAAAATAATTTGGCCGTTGGCCTGGGGGCCCGCCATTCAGACCGGTTACCGGGAACTGGTACTGGATGCAGGACCCCGGAGAGTCCGGATCGTAGCTATGCGCCATATCCATTCTGGGGAGCGTCAGGCTGGTTCCTTTCCACTGCAAGTCATAGTAAATACCATTCACCCACTCATGGTTCCTTCCATTCGGATGAAGGATCCATGACTATCATTGATTACTCCATTGCATGGAGGATTACTCGAGCTCTTATCATCTCGGTCGTGCATAAGAGTTATGACTTCTGTCTTTCATCAAGTTTCATGTCATGAGGTGTCTTGGGGTTCTGGGCATCGGTTGATTTGTCTGGCGGAGACTGGCGCCAATCTTTCGACTTGATACAAAGTTGTGCCAATCTTCCGACTTGATACAGAGTCCCTCTATTGTTGCCACCTTGCCCTTTACGCTAGCCATGTCTATCAAAACTTCTCTTTTAACCTTTGCTCCGAGTCTGTGTCCCCCTGAATTGCAAGTGTGATTTTCCACCATTCGCATCAGATTTCCGCTTCGGTAAGGTTCAGAGGTTCTTGGTTGTGCCCTTGGTTGCGCCCCAAACAGTTTCGCTGGAGATCGTCCAGTGATGGAGCGCGATGCTGCATCTCTCTTTCCAAATTGCCGACAATGTTACTTTCGTTACCATTCCATACCTATCAATCGTGTCCATCTTTTGTTAATCGCTGGTGTTGTATCTTTGTTCTTTAGCAGTAGGGTACTAGGGATAGGGTTCTGGGTGTGTATCACAGCTTTACTGTAGAGACGGTTATGGGGATAGGACTTTTGATGCTGTTCTCAGCTTTGGGCTTCCAGACCCATTCGATAGGATCGAATCGCAGGTCTTGTATTGCAGTCGTTATTTGAGAGAGTGTGGTTTTGGCCACAGTCCTTGAACTCTCGCCTTGTACAAGAGAGAGGATTCTAGCGTTTTGACATCAGTATTGTTGAGCTGTTCCACCCAACTTTGTCTATGGAATCTACTCCTGATTATTTCGCCTCATATGGCTCTTCGCCATGAATCGCTGTTCGATAATGCGGACTGCCTATTAGATTGTGGCATCTTGACAGGAAACTCTTCATTTTGTTCTTCCTCAAGCTAATCTTTTCTTTTCCTAGTCCCAGATACGGCTTACTTTCCAGATTCCTCTTCAGACCCATGTGAGCCAACGGCTGTCTTTATGAGTCAGTGTCCATCGGTGGTCCCCACCGCCTTGTATCCTGGTGTTACCAAGTAGAGGTCGTCTCAACACTTCTTCTTTGGATTTGGGCTTGTGATTCTTTTGGTGAGGGGCAGTAACTCCCTCCATCTTTTGATCAAGAAGTCCAATATGGCGAGGTGGCCCTGGCGTTGGTTGATGTGGCGTCTGGTGAGGTGCCCCTCGACCTTCTTCCCCCGAATACAATGTACGGTCATTAT